GTGGAAAGGGAGTCGAAAGAAAATCGTGAAATAACAGGAAATACGAGCCTTTGCTCTACGCTGCGGAGAAGTTCAAAAGGTGGCAGGGAGATGAGAGATAATGTGAGCGCGGAGAGCGCTAGAGAAGTCCGAGTAGAGAGAGCATAGCAGATCAACATTAGCGACGCAGACAAGATATCGAGCGGTGGGCGGAGCGTGTCAAGACAACTAGCAGATTACGAAAATATTCAAAGTTTGGCCCGAAGGCTAGTTGGAACTAAGTAACAGCGCAAAGGCGGTATTATTAAGACAGCTCTTAGCTGTCTTCGACCTTCCTTTGGGTAGAACTGCAGACCAACTGTGCGATCTCTTTCACGCAATGAAGAATAATATTCTCCTCGGAAGAAATGTTGCAAATGAAAGCCTTCACGGCGAAATTAATTTTAGAGGAAGCGTTCTCTGGTCCTGTCGGGCTTTGAATTTTGAACAGCAACCATTTTCTCAGCAAGAAGTCATTGGTCGAATAGTGAAGCACTGAGAACAGAGACCAAACAACTTCCTAGAACCTCGGCTCTCAAAGGACTTTTAAAGAGTAAATTGAAGTTTGAAAAATAATCCTTCTGTCTAAGCAATGATGAAGAATATGTGTTTTTATACTAAGCGAAAAAATGTGCAATCTAAACAACATAATTTATGATCCCTAGGCTAAATTCCAGCGCCCGAAAAAGGCTAACTTAATAAGATGCAACGAAAAACCGAATTTATTGCTGCTACACGAATCGTGGCGAAGGCTATCAATTCAGCGGAAGCGCTCGAATGTCGAGCTTGCAAATGAGCCGGAGACCTCGCCGATTTCGTATTCAGCGTTACGCGCGAGCTTTGAAGAACTGCTAGTGTTAATTCGCTCATCTCATGGGAATAGAGAGGTTGGACGGGAGGTTATGCGGCTCAGGAACCGTAGTTGGCGCTAAACCAACATCAACTACAATGTCGCCACGATCAAAGGACAAGCTGAAAAGCAAACATCAGGAGACTGTTCCGTGAAGTGCCTTTTATTTGGTATCTGGTAAAAACTGACAAGTACTAATAGTTTTATGAGCTTCTGCCACTTCTTAGCGTATCATCAAGAAATGAATGAGGGCGCTATCGCAAGATACGGGGGCATTGTCATGACCAAACCTATGGAAACCGCGTACAACAACTGTTCTTTGTCAAAATCGGACCTAAGATATAGGCGGGGACGAGAGACTCAAGGCGGGTTGAGCAATTTTTTATTTTTCGAAAAATCCTGCCACATAAAGGCTAGATTTATTTCCTAGAGGTTGCCTCTATCTTGCGATAGCGCCTAAATAAGTACTATAGTATTTCAAACGCATGAATTCTCGATCCCAACCCAGTTGGACGTCGGAATTTCGACATTAAAACGCCATCAGAACAGTTGTCCATTTACTGCCGAGAAATCGTGAACCGCAATGGTGTTCATTGCAAGAGAAAACCGGATCTGGTCGCAGCAATTCCCACGACTGCACTTCACTTTACTGCTTAGTGACACGAATTCTCCCATTTCAGTCAATTCCCCGTCTTTACGACTGGAACCTAACGACACAATCGTAGGAAAACCCACCGCCCGCAATAAGCATAAGGTTAAATACGTGAAGATCATACAGTACATGTGAACAGCATAGAAGAACTCAACTTTGTTCGAGTTGGACTTTCTGTTGTTAATATGGCCACTACTAAGTGCACTATTTGGCGTAAATAAGTAAATAAATAAGCAATAAATAAGCAATAAACAATACTTCTCTCAGTTCAGCGAAGGGCAGCTGCTACACACCATAGCGCTAGATTCAGATCTTGAGTTCACACCTTGACATCAGGTTTTCCATCGATCAGTTTTTTTTTCTTGCTAAGTACACTTTCTAGGTTTGCAACGACTTCTAGTAACACGCTGGGGTACGAAGGTCCAAATATTGTCCAATAACGCCCTAACGTCCAAATAACGTCCAATAACACCAAAGAAGAGATACGATTCAAATGGTACAACAATTGCCAATGAAACTCGAATTCATGGCACAGCCCAAAAACCGGATTACCCTTAAATTTTTTACTTTGAAAAGTTGACCACGATTAAGGGAAAGGATACAACAATCGATCTTCAGAATAAAAGTATATCATGAATATCCATGCTATCCCTTGCTTTTATCCTTTTTCTTCCGTAGATCGATTGCGGGTATTAAGTCCTTAGTCGTGGCCAACCCTCCAAAGGGAAGAAGTTTAGAGATACATCATCCCGCTTTTGAGACCAAGCCTACATTTTTGCCGATACTAATGACTACTAACAGGGAGCTATGCTTCGCGGTATTGTTGAAACTTTGTGCTTCTGAGAAGAGCGAAAAGTCGAAACGTCAGGCCAGTTGGAAAAGGTTCCACTATTACAGTCGCGTGGCACATGGTTTAGATTATATGAATGTAATTTAATAATAATATAAGTAATAAGAATAATAATAGATAATTAATAATAATAATAATGAGTACTATCATGCCTTCATGTTTCAATATGTGCTTGAAAGATGTCAGATTAAGGATAAAAAGACTCAAAGTTCCGGTGTCGACATTAGCTTTTGGGATGTGCTCCACGGATTTACTTCATTCAGAATTCGTTACGTGTATTTTGAATGTGATCTGATCATCCAAACCGAATTGCACAGAAAGATAGCAAAAATGTTAATGTTCTTCAATCTCCATACGGGGCTGGTAGGCGAGCCGTTAATCACTTTGAAGGAATTGAAACTGGTGAGCAGAGCAGACTTGATCTGGGATTGAACCCCGGAACATGCGCGTGATATACGGCGCATTCTCCACTACTTTACCAGTTTCATATCAATTTTTGAAAACAATAAATTGTATAATTTAGACGGGTGACTCAAAAGCGATTATGCATATGGGAACAATAGCTATGCAAGCTGTAGTCAAATGTAAACAGTAGATATTCCAATTGTCGCTTTCATTGGTGTATAAACAAAAAACACCGCACATCAGCAGCTCTCATAAATTGTTGAGAAACAACTCAATGGAATTTTCCTAGTTGAGAATGCATCAAAGTTTCCAATTTTCCCACTAACTACAGTCGCAAGGCAATATTTTGACATTGTCGGGACCCATGTAAAACTTGCGTCAGCGAAAATTTTCAGGAAGTCTGAAGAACTTTCTCAGTTTATCCAGAATTTGGCCAGGCTGGTCAACTCGAGCCTTGAGCTGCCGTAAACATAAGAAGAATGAATCCAAAAATGCTGGGTATTTGCGAATCCCCTTGGGATAAGCCATGAACAAGACTTTACTTGAGAATTGCATGAACAGATTAATGCACACTTCTCACACAGCGGGAATAGTGATCAAATGTTCAAATTCTTCAGCCTAGTTTAGCGGTAGCAGGCCGTGATAATGAAAAATTGTTCGGATTGCATGGATACCGATCCACGAACCACGTGGGTGATAACAGCGCCTTTCGCCATTGCCTCATCTTCTGAAGCTATCAAGCTCAAAGAACATTCAAACAGCAGGCGTTGCCATCTGCGCCACAAAAAAAACAGATAAAAAATCAAAAAAGAGGGCGGAAAGCAAAGAGAAATGCAATGATTGTTGCAAACAAGCCGCCCGCTGAGCTGTCCACGGGCATTACAAAAAAGAAGGAATAGTGGAAGGGATCAGGAGGGCACATAGTTTAGCTTATAAACCTCTCAGTGGCTACTTAATAATAGACACCATGAAAGAACTGAGCACTGAAGGGGCAGAAACGGCGCTATTTCTTACAACAGGACATTCTAATGCAGAAAGTCCAAGACATTCAAAATCTGGACCAATATTTCCCTTCTCCACAGTCCTTCAGAAAAAGTAGTACAAGCCTAGTCCCTTGTTGGACAACCAAACTGGTTCACCTATCGCGGAATTCCCATTCCAAAAGTTGCAATAACTGTGACCAGAATGAAATATTGGGATCTACTTCAGTTAGGGGGGGGGGGGGTATCATGATTCAGTTTCTCGGCGAACAAGTATGAACTCGAATTCCAGCTTTTCGCCAAGTGACTGCCCCCCCCCCACATCCCCATAGACTGGCTACACTTCCTGGCTCGGAGTTTATTTATTTATTTATAGCTTATTAGCTGACAACAACTGGTCTCAAAAATATTGTAGGAATGCAAAACGAGATCACAATAAAATATGAAAATATGAATACTAACAGAGATTAAGTGGAACAAGAAACGAAAGAAACAAAACGATATCAAATAGTTGATAACCTCGGCATCGTAAGGGGGGGGGGAGGAGGGAGAGCATTAACGGCCCAAATAAGGAGAAGGGCAATGGCCCCAACATTGCAAACCGCTGGTGAGGGAGGGGGGCGGTCCGTCCAATCTTAGTAGTCCTGTCGAGTTACTAGCTTTCTGGAAAAACTGCATGATTCCCTCCTAACTGGAATTAGACCCAAATATTGCACCAAAATACCCACGACTCGTACTTTGTGAGCGCCCAGGAACAATAGGATTAGTCCCGTAAACCTGTGCACAGGAGGGCCATCAAGTGTTGTATTTCTGTTTATATAATAAAAATAAACTGGGGCAGAGAAGGATTATCTTGCAGGCAAGGCAGTAGCGAGATATTAAATTTCAAAGATTCCGACCTCTTTTTACCTTCCTTTTTGACCACCCCGCCTAATAACCTTCCTTTACTATATTTCCACCATTACTATAAAAATTCGGATTTTAGACTTCATGGAAAGATCGATTCGCTAGCGTAGGAAATTACGAGAGTTGTTGTTCTGCTGAAGAAAAATTGCACTTGGAAGTATCCGTATTCACTTCCGATGGTATGGTAACAACTGATAAGAGCCCGAAGAGCCACAAACACAGTCGCACAGATTACGCTTATACGGTAATTACGGTAATTACAGGTACTGCCAGCTGAAGAATCGGGTTAACCAGCTATTGCACGCCAAACTGCACATAGCCCAATTAATAGCTTAAAAAACGTACATCCACCAAAAAGTTAAAAAAAAGGCCTGATAAATAACGATTAAAACGATTAAATAAAGAAGTCAGAAGGGACCTATCAAACAAGTAAATCAATAGGGAACTGTGGCGATGATGGGACCAGCGTTACAAGAGCACCTTCCGTACGGAACCAGTGCCTAGGTGAGGGCGCTGGAGCTGACCCCACACAACGATGCGATAGAATCAGACGACGAGAGCCGCGTGTGAGAGACGCAGACAGTGGGTGTTGGCAGCGCTCCAAGATGACCCGGACGGACAGCACGCGTCCAAGGCAATAAAATTGCGATGATAGTCGTTAGGAAGCTGTCGCTCACTGCCAACCAAAGGCAGTGTATCATTTTAACATTCGTTGCTTTGTTTGTCTCTTTCGTGGGAAGAACAAGGCTGATAGGTGGGCTATTTTATTTGGGTATTTTACTGGAAATATGGAAGGGTCGAAATGTCCCTTAGTGATTAGTAAGTTTATATTGATTTTTCTATAAATAGAGAACTTAGTTTAGGGCGCTCATCCGGTAAGGGGGGGGGGCATTGTGATGCAACGTCAAGTGGCTGCCCTCACCCCCACCCCCTAGACTGCCTTCACTCCCCCTGGCTCACGGGGTCCCGTACTTCGAGAAACCTGTGCGCCAGGGGGAGTGTAGGCAGTCTAGGGGGGGGTGAGGGCAGCCACTTGATGCCCCCTTACTGGATGAGCGCCTGTTAACGTATGTAGTCGAAACCTTATAAACCGGTTTTATTCATGAAGAATTCAAAATTTCATGAATAAAACCGGTTTTTAAAGTTCTTGCGAACCGAAGTGCCATAGGTGAGACATGATGAAAATAAATATTATTGGGTTGTCCAGAAAGTCCTCCGACACTTCGAACATGTTCCTTGAAAAAAATTCCCTCCAGTTGTGCTGCCGTTTGGTTACTGTAGTGTGCCATTGCAGGTGTTAAGACAAGGGTTTATAAGGGCTTTGTGCAACATTTGCAAGTTCAAAGCTACCTATGAATCAAAAAGTAAAAAACACTTAAAAAATACAGCTATTTGCAGAAAAAATCATATTCATAATATAATTCAAAATTCAGAAATTATTGTTACACTCTTCAATACTGAAATTTAAAATTAAGAAATTAAATTAAATTTTGAAGAAATTAAATTTACATTTAAAAAAGTAAATTTTGTCAAAAATGACGATAACTTTACCGTAAAGTGAAATATGGTTAAGATTTTAATCTAAATTACATAATATACTGACTAAAACAAATGTCATCATATCACCTTGACGGTAAAGCCTGGAAGTTTTCCCTGCTTTGTAAGGTTCAAAAATTGATAAAATTTTGTCACATTCTTTTCTCGCTAAATATTATTTTATATTATTTATTTATTGTTAAGTAGTTTTCAGAGTGATTCAAAATCTTGTAATTTTTTCAGGAGTATGGTGGGAAAAGATTTTATAGAATTTTTCATCACTTTCCTTTCAGCAGATGATTGCCTCGGGTCACCGACATATCGTACATAAAAATTTGCTTCAGGGTCGCCTTGTTAGAACCGCTGCAGCTAACATCTGGGCTGAATTTCGAAAGAGTGTTATTTCCTATTCGCAGGGTCCTGCTTGTTTCAGGCGCAAGGTGAAAATTTTTTAGTGGAGAAAAGAATGTTCCGGGAAATAATTCCCGTTTCAGTCACTTTTCTTTAGTCCAAGGTGCAGACGAGCAGCGTTCTCGGTGATGTTGCGCAGACATGTCGCCGAGAACGAAAAACGATATCCGTGGCAGGATGCGAGAGTTCGACGAAGATTTCTTCACCTGTCGGATGGGATTGGCGGGGAAATCCCCGTTGAACTGTTTTTTCGAAGTAGCTTTTCCACTTTCTGCATGGGTTTATTCTACATGCATGTATGTGACAGTAACCCGTCTCTCGGAATTTCACAGGTTCGGAGAGAATCAAAAATGTTGAATAATTAAAGTTAGAGATTTTCTTTTCCATCCCGTGGGGATTCTAATATACGTGTCCTCAACAATGGTACGGTACTAGAGACCACTGGTATGTCAGTGTAGTACCAGGTTAGTCTTCCTGGCGAAAATATCATGACCAGCGCTGTGTGGTTTCCTGCGCAAAATGGCCAAATTTCAGGTCTTTCAAGTAGTTCTGCTGGTTTTTGTGATATAAATGGATTCATTTGTTTTATTTAGTCAAACAGAATATCTTTTATCGCGTGATTTCGATGCAGCGAAATTTCCTCCTGTGTAAGGCCGATGTCATAGTTTGCGAATCGAGCGATTCGCTAGCGAATCGCTGGATCCGAGCGTTGCGCCAGCGAATCGAACGTTGCACCAGCGAATCGAACTTTGCGCCAGCGAGTCGAACTATGTACCAGCGACTCAATAGTGGCGGGACCCAACGTTCAAAGGAAGCCCGCCACTTTCAAACAGTGTCACGTGACAGTGGACGCTGTTTGAAAGTGGCGGGACTTGACAGTGGACACTGTTTGAAAGTGGCGGGCTTCCTTTGAACGTTGGGTCCCGCCACTATTGAGTCGCTGGTACCTAGTTCGACTCGCTGGTACATAGTTCGACTCGCTGGTGCAAAGTTTGATTCGCTGTGCGCAACGCTCGATTCGCAAACTATGACATCGGCCTATCTGCTATTTATTACACTATCGTTAGATACAGTTGCCGATCCAACTGAATGGCAAATTTCGCGTTTCATCTCGTTCGCTTATTTAGCATAAGTTCGTTTTAGGGCGCCGTTTAGTCATTATTGAACTTTTGTTCGCTACCCTTTTGTGGTTTCATAATTGTAGAAATCTATAACTGGGCCAACCTTTCGGTTCCAAGCCATTAGTATGCCAAGTTGTGGCTAGCGCGTTCAGCAACGCATAAATAAACAAATAAATTAGCTTCTATGGATTTCAGGTTTTTTATGGATTTCTATGGATTAATTGGCAGTTAGAAATGAAGTAACAAAACGCAATATACTGAATATGCTTTACGCAAGCACGAATCGAATGAACACGTCTATATGTGTCAAAACGTGAGCTGACATGGTCGAACGGATCGGTCACGTCGACTTCCATACCCTTCAGTGATGCGATGGCTGAAAGGGGAGCGGTTTCAATGACGTCCATGGTGGAGGAGCGCTTGGGGAGTCGTTGCCTGGGACCACCCAAAATTCCCTTGCAACAATGACGTCATCTAAACCGCTCCGCCTTCCAGCAGCTGCACCCACTGCCTTTAATGTCTCATGTTAGGGAATTCCATGCTCGTATAACTTCGTATAATGTATGCTATTTTTCTTTCGTGTACAAAAAAACAGATAGCAGAAGTTAATAAATAATTATGTGAAACACCAAAAAATCACTATTTTGTTTCTTTAGTGATGTAAAAAGAACTTCAGAAAAATAAGTTTCTGATTTCGTAGTGCCAGGGTGCCTTTTAAACGTTTTCTCTGAAATGAGTTGCTTCATGAGAAGGCCTCTGGTTAGGGAGCACGAATATTGAGCACGTTTTCTCAATTTCTTAGAAAGGGATTTACGAAACTACCCTTGCCTATATCATTCCTGCCAACAAACCTTTATATATTCGTTCCAGCGACAGAACCTGTCGTAACTACAGACTTGGTATCAAACGAGGCGACGGCTTGAGATAAAATCGACACAACGCTTGCATCTTGATCCCCTTGATGCCTCCGAAAACAAGGCGTGCTTCTAACCAAAAGTCCACAGTTACGGCAGGTTTGGCGACAGACAGACAATACTTATATGAAGAAAGCGAGGCATCACGGAATTTGGCCGATATTTGCAAGAGACCCTATTGTACTGTCAGTGACAATGATATTGTAGATTCTCGAAGTGCTGGTTCTTAACGATGCCACTCGCTCAATTGGACTTCCATTGAGGATTGCCGTGAGTTGTTTTGAGTGCAAATTTACCTGTACATAGTGACTTATCCACTGGCGGACTAATGCTCAAGTCTCCGTCAAAATAAAAGAGGGCACTACCGCAATATCCGGGGCCATTGTGACCGCGTAGAACATGCCTTTTTTGTTAAAGGCTTAAGCAGACGTCGTGTGAACGCTTCCCTTCGGTCTGTAGTATAGACCCCTAGAGGACAATCACAAATGTGGCGTTCCCGTGCACGGAAACCAAACGACGAGAGCGCTTGGGCCTTGCAAAGTAAGCTGCTGAAGCTGCAGATTTTTTTCTCTATCAGGCTGTTGTCTGGCTCTCTCTCAATGTGATCCTGGGGCATGCTCTAATAACGTCCGGACAGCCAGTAGGCGGGGGAGAGAAACCTCAAAAAGTGTGAGCAGTTTTCATTTTCTCTGGAGCTCCTGCCTCCTCCTAGGCCTGGTCTAAGAGGATGCCTCTGCATATTGCGATAGCCCCCAAAGAGTGCCCAGAAATAGAGCTCCGGCGAGGTGCGTCTTTGAACGGACGATTGCTGTGCGGTGCTTACCTTTACAGCGACAACACTTCTGATCGATCTATACAAGTTCTTTTGAAAAATACAATACCTCAACGAATATAACATATAAAAAACTAATATGCATCTTTTTCGAACAAAGAATCGAAGAAGAAAAGAAAGAAGAAAAAAAAAGAAAAGAGCAAAAAAGGAAAAAGAGCAGAAAAATATCCGAAACAAGTAAGCACTTAGTATTTCCAGCTGTCATTCATTTCCAGTGATTACTTCAGAATTGTAAATAGCCGGAAAATTACGGCGTAAGCGTCTGCGAAGCTATTATTAGAACTACATAGAACCAGAACTCACATATGTGTTGTATGAAAGCAAAGGCTCTTCATAGAGACACTCGTTCTCCTAACGATTTCAGCTCTTGCCTTCCTTTTCAAATTCACCTACCAGAAGCTGCTGGGATGTCCTCTCGATGCACGGTCTCTCGATTTGGACGCTTACAACATCGGTACTCGTCGGAGGATGGACCTACTTCACAATTGGAACAACTGATGCTGCCAAGAATGCCGGAAAATCTGAGTGGCAGATTGGCGCCGAAAAGTTTGACTGTTTGTTAATAGTCCTCGAGAATGAAGCCGATTCCAAACGTTATTCGCCTGATCAGAAGCTCTACTGAAGACTGTTTTTCAATAATATGGCACTAATATTGCCGTAATTTAGCGCAATAAATGCGCCACTTTGAAATCGGGCAAATATGGACAGTTGCGAAGGACTCCTAAATTCCTGCCCAACGTGAGGAACTTCTTTTCCCTGATTCACGAAGTCACGATCCTGAACAAATATTATTCTCATTTTACATCTTTCGGATATTTGCTGAAGTCGGGAGAGCCATCGGTATGAGATTTGAGAATGATTGGAGAACTGGAACATGGGCGCAGGGCAAGGGGCAATAAGTAACGTATAAAAAAAAAAAATAAAAAAAAAAAAAAAAAAAAAAAAAAAAAAAAAAAAAACCCCCTACAAAAAAAAAAAAACAATGGCAAACCTCTGACCAGGGTCAACCGTTACGTTGGACCGATATTGGAGCGACGTTGGACCGATGTTCACCGCTCTCCGCGCCGGCATTCACTCTCGCCACCCGCGAGCCGTCTGTGTCTCCGTGCGTACGTTCACTCTCGGCATTACTCTCGTCGTCGCGTTGGACTTTGTCCAACGGACGGTTGACCCTGCTTCTCTCCACTTTAACATTTCTTGTGAAAATTTCTCCAAAATCACCAATAACCCGTTCGGAAGACCCCACTATTCTGCAACAACGCCTTCTTCTATTGTACAATACGATCACCGTTCGCACTTTTCCAAGAGGTTAACATTGGTTAACTGGATAATAAAGACGGTCACCTATTGAAATCGCAAATACTGCAAATTCCCCTCCCCCTTTTTTTGATTCAATGGTACGGTTGCCATGCCGGGGGAGAGGTGATATGGCGCGATCTCCATTGGCACTAAGCGCACAGTATCCAGGACAACTCGTCCGTATCACACGCTAGACTTCAGCAATGATTGATTGTGATGACAATTTGGGCCTCAAAATCTCGCTGAGTCCCAAAGATCTAAATAAAGAGTGGGTAGCTTCGTTGGCCTGATGCCAAGGCAAGATGAACGGAACAGAATGTGTTGCGCGGACGAGTTGTCCGGCCACAGCAGGACGTGGTAATTACGGCCTGTGCGCTCCAATGCCAATGGGATCGCGCCATATGACGCACACCCCACCATAAGAGATTACTACTGGACGCTAGACCATTAGAGGCGCGCCTGATCGATTTAGACTGGTACTGAAGATGCCCACTAATCAGCTTTTGTGGCACCGTCCCTTGGAGCATGACGAAAAAATTAATCCGTTTTTCATGGCCAATGCTCTCTCAATGCCTTTGAAAAGGCAATGATGGAGGCGCAAGAAACACTCCACCATTCTGCCTCAAAATCCACAAGCTTTCTAAGTATTAATAAGTTTAAAATGTACTGGCAAGATTCCAACTTAAAGTCACGGGCCGGTACAAACACCAGCAAGGGTGCGCGTATCGAATGTTGTGTTATTTTGCTCAAAATTGGATAAGAAAGTGCAATGAGGATGAATCTGTGTATATGCTCATTTCTTGGCACGTGTGCCATTTTTGCAGACGTAATAAACTGTATACTATATCGTTATATGAGGAACGTCAATGAGGCAAGAACGCAAAAAACACACGGTAAAACGCTTGAATTTCCTCGCGACATCGACCCTGGTAAGAGCGAGAGAAACAGCGCTGCGAGGGGAGGGAGAACACGAGAGAGCACGTAGTAGCGAGAAGGAGCAGACATCATTGTTTTGATCTTTCCGCCTTCATTCACTACTGCAGCGTTTTGAGTTCACATCTAGCCAAGGCAACCAATTCAACACTTCAATTCTTAGACAAATTCAGTACTTGTTAGATTATTACAGAGAATCAGAAGGCTGCGCTCGTTCCTCAACGAGAGGTCTCTTCATCGCTTCAAGACGAAGTTTTATTTCGAAGAACGATACTATACAAATACAATATAACAATGTCAGAAGTTTAAGAAACTAACATGCATAATCTGAAAGAGCAAGCCAACTTCCTCTAGAAGAAAACCGAAAGAACCCGAAATAAGTGAGACACGCAGTACTTAGAAAGTACTTGACAGTAAAAGTACAATATTGAAGCTATTTTGTGCCTAGGTGGATCACTGACAATATAAACAATGGACAGCAAATAAAAAAAACATCAGAAAGACACACATGCAAATAAGGAAAGGTTATAAATATATAGCTAAATACTCGAGTAGCTTGACTAGTATGAACAGTACCGGATCTTCGTGAGAGAAGAAGAGTCGATCTCTATTGGATTCAGAATTTCCTGCCTTGGCTTGTTTACTTGGTTTCCTCGCCATGGCGATGTAGGTATCACTCTTGGGTTAGGTTATCCGTCCTCTGGCTCGTATTCACCACACCCGACACTTTTCGTACGGGTTCATTGGACTTCCGATAGGGCAGTTGAATGCTTGTGAGAAAGGCGGAAAGTTCTGGAGAGGCACATTCACCCTGAAAATAGGCGTTAATTTACTAATTTTTTAAGGATTAGTTGATTCATGGTTGCTTCCTTGAAATATGCGCAAACGGAGAGGACCGAAGCAAAACGGTTTCTGTACGCCAAAATAAAGCGGAATTTTTGAAGAAGAGATAATTAAATATAATAAAACAATAAGACAATTCAAAATAAACAGACAAACAACAACATAAAACTAAACAATTTGTGCCTCAATCACCTGAACATCCCCAAAGGGTGAACATCAGTGTCCATTAAATAGTTTACTGACGATGTCTTCACCACTTCACACCATACCTGAAGAGCTACTTACAAGGAAGAGGAAAGAGGAAAGAGAGAGGAAAGTTATGAGCAAGGATTCCTTTTATTAACCACAGCAACTTACGTTAGCGTAAGCGATGAAAAACAGCTGCTCTGCATTCCAGTCAGACAGTCCGGGAAGTACTGTTGTGAGATTCGACTCTCGTGAGCTTCGCATTTTGTACGCCTAAAAAACCACGAAAATCCGATGGAATGCGTGAACGTGAGGTAATGACAAGGGGCACCAGTATCGCCATGGTATGGGAGACAAATCTCCAGTTACTTCGATTCTTGGAGCTTTTGAAATACAAAAGGTCAAAATAGGGCCCGTTATAGAGGGGACTTTGGAGGCCACAAGACGTTGCACGAAGCCTTCATGTACGCTCCCACTGACGCCTCCAAGGATGCACTACCGTAATCAAACACCGAAACAATCAGGAAGACTTTTGGTCTTCCCTATAAATTTGTTCGAAGTGCCGCAGGAGTTTCTGACAGCCCATTATTTATTTGAATGAAAAATAAACTTTGAGTTAGTTTTAGCTTTCGCAAATTTTCGAAGACGGAACCTCCTGTTTTCAACCCAGGTACTCAAAATTTTGCGTGTGGACGTGTATCACATTTTATTGGCCAATGACGGTACTAATCTGGTCTCATCTGCCAGTACTCACGTGGCCATGAGCTCACGGTAGTCTGGTGAAGGCTTATATCCCAAGAAGCCTAAAACATGCATAGAGGCCTTTGGAACCCCTACGAAGATTCCCCGTCAGAAGAGTCGAAGGGATGACTTTATGTATATGACCATTTTCAAGCTGT